CTTCGCGTATCCTTGATTAACATAATTGGGCAATTGCCTCGCTCTTCAGGACGTAAGCAAATAATTTAATTCACTTAATAAATCTGTCTTAATGCTTAACCTTAATTGCAGGTCTCTCCCTCTTCCCGCTCCTTCTGCTCGTCACCTTTTCTCCTGCGAGAGTAAAGCAGCAGAGAGGGAAGGTTTGTCAAGGGTCATAAATGTCTTATATATTTAGCTTCCCTGAATGTTTTGAATAGCTCTGCTTCATGCGCCTTCATAAATTTCAGATAAATTTACTGTTTTATTTTTTGCCAGAGCCATATTCGTAATCCAAACACAAAACTTGGTTTTCTTAGAGCTTGGTGTGGGAGCATAAAGGCACAATTTGCTGCTGATGCGATTAAATAAAACGCTGTTAAAATTTGTGGTGACGTCTCCTCTTAATCTCTCTCTCTGAAGTGTGTCGAATTTTTCAAATCAGCCTTACTATTGTATGAGCCCGATTCTCTTATGACTCAAAGGGTGAATGAATTGGTGGGTTACACAGTACGAGTGAGTCACTATCAAAGCTATATTTGTGCGTGGATGTGTGTGTGTTTGTTTGTGTTTGTGCTCATGTGTGACTGTGTCTGCCCTGCCTGCCTGTGGATGAATGTGTGCAACTGTGTGTGACGTTAGCCAGCAGTAGCAGGGTTATGAATCAGATCAAACACACACATAGTGACACCAGATCAAACACACACAAACACACACTGCCAGTGGTGGACAGAGCTGAAGGGCCCCGACCGGGTGTTACTTTGATCCTCACAACAACATCCGCTCTTCCATTCCAACACTGCTTTTCTGCTGCTCATCTGTCTCACGTGCCCCCCCAGGACACTTACCCAGGACTCAAGTTACTCCTTTCAGATCCTCAAATAGAGCTCGGTGTGCCTTCAAACACAGAGGATCCTCCTGTTGCAACTGGACACTCAGCGTGTAGGATCCAGATTTGGAGTCTGCAGATGTGCTTCAGGTCTCAGAGGGAGGGTTGTGGTTAGTGTCAATGGCTGTGAGAGTAATAATAACTCAGTTATATAGGCTGAGTTGTGAGCATGTATGGTTATTTTGTTTGATGATGAGCCAGATGTGACTATATGGCCCTGGTTGCACTTTGCAGAATGTGCTAATGTTTTCTCTTCTTTAATATCTGTGATAATTTACTGAGATGTAATTTGCACCATTATTCCTTCTAAAGGAGATTTACTCAAGGAAGTGTATGAATTGACTGAAATATGAGATCTTACAGCTACCAGTAAGAGATCTTCTCAGTTTAGTTCTTGTTGACTAGTTTGAGTTACTGTGAAGCAGCAAAGTCATATCACTTTGACAACATAAAAGATGTGTAGGATTTAGTGGCATGGCACCTAGTGGTAAAGTTGCAGATTGCAACTAACTGAACAAACTCTCTTGCGTGTGTATTTGATGACCATGGAAAAGAGGATGGGCTGTGAAGGAGAAAATACGGTGGCCACGAAACAAAAAAAATGCGTACGGTTCTCATGACTGCCATGGTTTACTGAGTAAATTAATTTAAACTTATGGTAACCAAGTGATGCAGAACAACTAATAGTATAGCATAGGGCAGGTTGACTGTGCTTTTAAGACATGACAAAACATATACTGTAATAAGCTTAAGTCAAAGGTCTCACCTTTGGCATTATTAATGGAGAAACCATTGGCGTATGTATAAGACAGGCAGGTAGTGTTTTTCACCACCATGTTGTTTACAATATTGTCTCGACTATATGCAAATGATCAGAGGTTGCGGAGGCAAGGAGACTAAAACCAATAAACATGGAAATATATAATAGGAATCTATATGAACAAAATCAGCCGTGACCTTTTCAGCCAGATGTGTAATGATACTTCGAGTGTGTGATGTGAAACTCCTTTATAATCAGTGAAGATGATGATAAGATGCAGAAAGCAACTGTGTCAGATTTAAGTGTCTCGTGAGGGGAGCGGAGCTAATAAGCTAAATTTTAACACGTCAAACCCAATAAAACATCTTCAGGCTCATCACCCAAAGGAGCACTATGAATTTACTGTAATAAGAGAACAGCAACTAGCAAAGCAGCTGATGCCTCTGCAACAGAACAGACAGGCTGTAGAATGATAATCCTAAACTAGCATTTACAGAAGAAATGGCAAAAATTCATAGCAGCAGAAGGCGTGACATTCTATCATCTCCTGTTTCACCTTGAGCTAAGACACACCCGACCTGTTGTTTACTTACCACATGTGTTAATAGCGCACAATGCTAATATAATTATATTTCAGTATTAAAAGTAATCCAGGTGATTACTTGGTTTCAATAACTAATTACCAAAGCATCAGATTCCATGATGCAGATTTGGCAACCCCAAATTTACAAGGCCAACAAAAAATCCGAAAGAAAGAAGAAGATGAAGTTTCGACTTTAGTCTGATATTCAAGGTTCATCCTCAGTAACCTGTCATCAGTTTCATCAGTTTTCCCCGTACAGTATTTGTTTGGCAGTGCAGGATAAAGCTTGACTGATGTTGCCCAGGTGTTGTTACCTCGATGCCTGAAGCTATAAAAACCTTGAGTGACTTGACAGTAGACAGGAAAATAACAAGCTGAAGTTAGGGGCCGTCTTAAAAGTGCATGCAAAATGTCCAAGACAATTTTTACACAGCTTCTACATTAGATTCAGTATAGACTTTATTTGTTTTTCTGAGATACAGTTAATTCTTCATCATTTCAGATAAATGGTTAAAGAATGTTATTTTGTAAATTCCAACCTCTTCTTCTTGTGTAATTGCAGTAAGATGCAGTAATACAGAAACAGTAACTACGTATTACACCGCTACGCACAACATGTCATCATGGCTGATCTTTGCATTTAGATTATCTCTATGTGGCCCTTAGCCCTGTCTTAGAATAACCCAACTAGTGTTGGCACATTAAGGCTGGTAGTGTACTGAATCTGAATCTGAATTTCTCTCAGTTGTTCTGGACACAGTGTTTGGACAAGCCTCCCTGTAATCCCCTCGACTAGGACTTGGCTTCTCCTGCTTTAGAGGAGATGAAGACAATGCTTCTCACTATGGAAATGTGTGCAGACTCTTTGATGCTTTATTCACTTCGGCTTTTCAAAGGACGTGTCCAGTTCTTCACTCACACCTTCCCCTCTCTCTAACCCTCCGCCCCCACTATACCGGCTCTGATCGATCCAAGCATGTCTCCCAGTCCCACATGTCATCTTTTTTCTTTGACACAGCTCTCCTCTCCCCTCTGCTTGGTATTCTGGAGTGGGAATGCATGCACCATCGCAGATCCATCAGCTCCGATCGGAATGCCGCACCACGGCTCGGGGAAATGGAGGGATGAGAAGAGAGAGAGAGGTGGAGAGAGAAAAAGGGAGTAGGGAGGGAGCAAGAGAGAGAGGGCAGGTCAGTGGCTTGTCGACATCCTTCCGGGACCAAAGCCTCAAACTGATGGGGAGAAAGAGAGAGGGAGAGGGAGAGGAAAAGAACAAAACTAAAGGCTAGAAAAGGAGCTTCTTTTTTTTCTGTGGGGCCACTTTCATTAATATCCATTTTCTTTCAAATCAGCCTCTCTTCAAGGAATAAAAAGAGCATACAAGTTCTTATACCCCATTTCCTTTAGAGCTCAAAGGATTCAATAAGTAGTATGTACTGAGATTTTAAGAGTCTGAGTGCTTTCAGAGACTAAAACTACTCTCATATTTGTTGACACAAAAATCACCAAAAGAAAACACAAGAAAAGACATTCTCTTTTTGTCGTGGCATGGTCAAGTTAAACCTAAGAACAAACTCTGACCGCTTTTCGGCATCAAGCTTTTGCTTCCTCTGAAAAACCTCTTAGAGCTGTGAAACCTCTTAGATAATATTTTCCATCCATCCATCCATCCATCCATCCATGAAATGTGTTCGAAAGCATGACTGTACTCATGTAATAATGTGCAGTGCTTGTAGGCCTATGTCTGTCTATAAAATTCATATCAGTTCAGGTTGTAGATTAAATGTGATGTACAGTATACTCCTACAGATGTAATGGCCTAATAGAGTCAGCCATTTGTAGCTGGTCATTGTGCCCCAGGGTGGGATTTCTGACTCTTTCAGCGCAGTACAGTCTACACACATCTTTTCATTGCACATTCCTCTGTAATGTATACTGTATTTTTTTGTCATTTTTTTTCCTCTCTACAACTCGCTCATCATCCCTTACTTCTCCTGTCAGAGCAAGAGGGAGACGCAGACAAGCGCTGATTGTATCGATGTTGTCTCTCTTCTTCATTTATCGCTCTCTTTTTTTTCGCTCTTCCTCTCCAAATCCTCTCCATCCTCTCTGTGTGTTCTCCCCCATGACTTTCCTCTACAGCAGTGCGTTGCCTTGGTAATTACCAGTTGTCTTAAACAGACAGATGGAATAAGAGAGAGTGACGGGCAATTTTCCCAGTGCCTGTTTTCCCCGTGTATGCATGAAAACTCCTTTTTGTGCGTGTGTCTCTTCTGTATGCATACTTCCTCGCCATCTCTTCAACTGTCTCTTTCCTCACTCCCCTTCTCCCTGTGAGTTTGCATTTGTGCACAGCTCGTGTGTATTTGTGTGAGTGTGTGTGTGTGTGTGTGTGTAAAGGCAGACGTGGGGAATTACCTGACAGAATGTGTTAGTCCAGGATGGGAGTGGGACAGTCTCATCTCCTGCTGTTGTGTTGGCCATTTTAGATGCCAGGTGTCACTCCGGACCTTTGCGAAGGCCCCAGGAGGGATCACTGCTGTCCCCTTCTCTTGTCTTTTCTCCCAGCATGCCCATAACACAGCAGTGGAGTAAAGAAAAGGAACTCTTTAAACTGTCAGGGAAAGCTAGGATGTGAAGAGGAGGATGGAGACGAGAATGATATGAGGGACTGACACGCATTAACATGATGTCAGAGTTCACCTACGCACATTCATGTCATCCAATTAATTTTCCACACTCTCTTTCAGGCTGGTATGATCAGGATGGAGCAAGAAGAGTTTTTTATCGAGCCGGTGGAGAGGGGCGATGGAGTGATAGAAGAGGAGGAGGCGGAGGGAGGTGGAAGAGGAAGGACGCACATCGTCTATCGCTCCTCAGCCGTAAAGAAAGCGCCCATCGGCAGCACAGCGGCAGACTACCACTCCAGAGGTCAGTCTGTGGCTCCCACTGTGCCCCCCTCGACTTTTATGCACCCTTCACTGGATGATTCTCATGCACACTTTAGCACTCTGCTCTGTTTAACTCCATCTTCTCCAGTAGCCACATGTGGAAGTGATTTAATGCCCTTGAAGTCCCTCTTCATTTACACACTTAATTTAAAGCCTATATAAGTATAAGTATTCATCTAAACTTTTTGTTGTCATTAATGTACTCTGCAGTAAATCCTGAAACACTATACCGAAAATAACAAGCATCTTAAACCAATCTTCCCTCATCCACACCTGGTTATATAATCATATCAAACTATTGTATGCAAAGACAGTGAGTCACAGCGTGAGCATACCCTGCTGTCAAAAAGATTACACCTACTCACACTCAAATGCATCCTCCTGTCACTGCACTAATTTTCCAGTGGTAAAGGAGTGACATATGGAGACATGCATGTTTGACTGGTAAGGTAGCAGCCTTCTCTCTTTTATAGAATTATATGCTGCCTTAACAATTAACAGCTGGCACTCAAGGCTTTGGTTTCTCTTCATGTCTGCCTCCATTTTCCACTCTACAGATGAAATAAATGAACTGAAACAACAAGAAGGGCTATTATTTTAGAGGAAGCATAATACTTAGACTTTGGCATAGCATGTAGGCTCTAGGATTAAAGGGAGGGAAGGCAAATGTGTATTCAAAAAGGCTTTAATACCCAAGGTCTGAACATTATCACTCAAGCAAAATTATATTTCATCATAAAAATCCATCTATTCATCTGTTTCTCATCTCGTATTACTCCCAAATCTTATTTCTTTACAATTAATTAACAATTGTTGAACTTGCTTCAAGGAATTGTCCTTGAGTCAAATGAATTAATCTTCATTTAATAGATAACACTTGCATGTAGTGTCACAGTTTATTATTACTCACTTATTAGTCTGCAACTTATGTCAAACTTAAATTAATACACCGACCATAGAAAATTCCATATATAAGTTAAGTATATGAGGAAACCTGAAGCATGAAGTGTATTCAGTATCTGCAGTAAGATAAATGATAAATAATATTAAGGGTTTTATTTAAATTGCTATGCTGCTTATTATTCAGTTCACCTAAAATATTCAAAGATTCAGGGTTATTTTATTGTCATTTACAACGCAGGGTTGTAGAATGAAAAATATGTAGTTCCCTTTCTGCTTCTTCTGAAAATGAAATAAAAATGGATTAACGAGTCGTAAAAATAGAAATGACTAATTTGTATGATACACTGTTGAGGAAGATGAGGAGTAAGAACAATATATACAACCCAGGAAAATTTTTTATTTTTGCTGAGAAATTACATCTACCTGATTTTATTTTATTTTATTTTATTTTATTTTGTGTGTATGTGAAGTTTTTGAAAAGGTGTAAAGAAAGAAAGAAAGAAGAAAGAAAAAACAAATTCCCTGAAACACAAGATTTACATTACATTATAAAACATTACTGCAATGCATGCCTCAGGCTTGTGTCAGTAGAAGTGGCTGTCCAATCACCATGATTGATCTGATGCCTACAAGTCAATCAATCGTGACCCCGACCGGTGCAAGAGTCTGCATCTCAACTAATCACCAAAGCAAAAAAATATTCTCAGAGAATCAAGTTTCCCATGTTGTACAGGAGCCGAGTCGAAGCGCTTTATAACGAGTGTATCGCAATAGATGTGATCTGTGTCTTCCTATTCTGAGCAGTTGACTCAAGAATGTCTAATAATATACAGAGAGAGAGAGAGTTTCCATAGGAACACCCAGTGAGGACAGACTGCATTAGAGTAACACAGATCTGCACCCACTGTTACTGATACCTGGCAGTACATCCACATACATACACACACATGCACCAACTGAAAAAAAACCTATACAGAAAGTCGCACACACACACACACACACACACACACACACACACACACACACACACACACACACACACACACACACACACACACAGGATGTAACCACACGCGGCTTACACAACTCCCTTGATCATACATTTACACTTCTGAACACACATTCATGCACACAGACACACGCACACACACACACAACACGTCTCACTGCTCCTTGTTGCCTTTGAATCCTTCTTTCTAATGAAGAGTGGGGTGCAGATCAATAGCGTAGGATAGAACAGGCCACAGTGTGTGTGTGTGTGTGTGTGTGTGTGTGTGTGTCTGTGTGCGTGCATGTGTGGCGTGGGCATGAGTTCTGTGGTCGTCTGGCTTTGAGTGCTGGGATTTTCAAGGCTAAGCAGACAGACAGACTGACAGACAGACAGACAGACAAGCAGGCATGTGCTGTTCCCAGCAGCATTTGATGTGAATCTCTCTCTCTCTCTCTCTCTCTTCGTTTCTCTTGTCTTTTTCCTTTTTATCTTTGTCTTAGCTATTCTAGACCCAACATTATGTAAACACAGGTTTACCTTCCAGTTGTTACATCATGTCACTGTAAAATCACAGCCACACGGACACATAGGAAGCACATTATAGATCCTACTGCCTTTACACTTCTTTTCCCCTCCATTCTCCTGTTGAAAACCAAATCCGATTCTTTCCTCTCCTCTTTCATCCCCTCATATTCTCTTTCTCAGACAATCACTCCCCCTTGTAGATCAATCAGGGACATTAGCAAATTAATTAATAATCAATCAATCATTTCTGGAGATCTCCTTCGCCAAGCCTGCTTAATTCACAGCCAGTTATTGAATGCTGGACTCATTTCCTGGCTAAAGACAGAGGGAAGGAAGTTATATTTAGCAAGGTAATAGAGGAGCTCAAAAAGGAGAGAAAGAGAGATGAAGAAAGAGCGAGATTGATCGGTTTCTTACACCATAAGCTGAGGAGGTGTGAATCAATGTCCTAAGTGGAGAGAGCAAGCTTTATTATTAATGTGGCACATTCGTCAATTAATCGCTGCGGCAATAGAAAACGAAGGATTGCCATTCATTTTTTGCTGGGGCGGACAGAGCTCCATCCTTCAATCTGTCTTTTCTTTGCCCCTTATAGTTTCATTTTATCTCCCTCTTTTATCTGTGATTTTGATCAATGTCCCTCTGTTCTGCTAATTGTATTTCCTGTTCATGGTCTCTTGCTACCTTTTTGCCCCAAACAAACTCTTGTCTTGCTTTCTGGTGTCTGCAGACACCCCCACTGTGAGGGTGGGGTTTAGTATTTTGTCTGTCTGTGTGGATGTGTTGCTTTAATTGTGTGTATACAAGCATGTGTATGCATGCCATTGCAGTGCTGTGTCCAGGGTACTGAGACATGCCAAAACAGATGGACTACCACAGGGCTTTTTCCCATAATCCCCCTCACCTAGTCTGCTGGACTAAACTCCCACATAAATGCATAAAACTCACCTTTTTATGTGTTATAATTACGTTATAAATAGATGTTTTCTTATTTTTGTCTTACTATTTACATATTTGAGCATTACAGAAGTATCATGTTGGGCTGTTATATTTTGGTAGCAAGGTAACTGTCATTCAGCTCTGTTCTGAACTCGTATACACAATAGGTTATAGAATTGCTTTACAAACATGTAGTCCTTTGCAACTGACTTGTTTTCATTGACATTTCAGAGATCTGTATTGTTCTCAGGGCAGAAAGGCTCCCTGCAGCCTCTGGGGCAAAGCGATTGCAATTAGGTGGTGGACTGGGCGGAGGACTGAGGCAGCTACACAGGACCCCATGCATCTGCGCAAAGCCAGCATTCGCTTTACCCCTCAGGCGCTGCTGTTCTTGCATGTTTTGTCATGTACTGTATTGTGCTTTACTGTTCTGCTGATGTGAGTCGCCGTTAGGTTTGCCACATCGCACAGCCCGATACAATGACACGTCAGCTTGGGCCTGAGCTGAGGGGAAGTTGGAGAGGGTCAGACAGAGGTCAGTGGTGGTAGTCACTGTAGCTTAATGTCTGCCTCTTGCATCCAGAAAATGAAGGGGGCTCCCTCGAGAACCCACTCTCTCTCTATCTCTCTCTGTCTCTCTCTCACTTTACTCCCTCCTCCCTGCTCTGTCTCTGCTGGTGTGACACAAGGATAGTCATACGGTGCAAGGGTTTTCAAGAGGAGACTTGTGACTAAGCACTTAGAGATGTGAGCACACACACACACACACACACACACACACACACAAACACATAAATGGCCTGAACTCTTCAGGATGTAACAGTGAGTCCCAGAAGATGATTTTCAGTACAGCATGCCTCTTGTTTGAATCCCAAATAGCCATCTGAAAACGCCAGAAAGGTGACATTTTTCTGATGTCATTATGAGGCTTATTTAAGAGATTGTGCTAAGAACATTCTTAAGAAGAGAAAGAAGGAAGAGAAGAAAGAGATTAACAGTACATTTATTACTAAAATGTCCGTTGCAAACATCCAGTTCCACTGTCCTACTGTGGTTGCACATTGATGGGCGACTTTTCTGGTGTGCTCACTTTTCCTTTTACAGCCAAATACAGTGATTTTCAATAGATTAACTTGTTTCCAACCTGTCATGATTGTTTGACCACTATCTTTGTATTAAACAGGACATTTCCTTTAATTGCAAATTCATTGCATATACACAAACAGGTTCCTCAAAATACCTCTCATCTCCTTTATAACTGCCAGATGCATCTTTCCATTTCCATTACCTGGCCCAGTTCCCTAAAGTAACATGTTCCCATTCCAACACAGTCTTCCCATTCACCCCAAAGCAAAATTGGCTGTCTAAGCCCTAGTATGAATGAAATCAGGAGCCGTGTGTCCTGAGTGCCTTTAGGCTGCTTTTTAAAGCTCTAAAACCAGTAGTTTTAGAGGAGAATTCCTTCACCGTATATAGCCTATGTAAACAATGTAATTTGCCATGGCTTGTCTGAGTCTGAGCATTTTTAGCAAGAAAAACCCAATGTTTAGCGGCAAATTCTAGAATTTGGAAATATAAACTTCAGTGAACCATTATGGTGTGGATAAATATGGGCTGTAAAG